CGGGAGGCGCCGGTGCCCTATAACAAAAAAAAAAAAAAAAAAAGTTTAATTCCTTTTTTAAGTTTACTTCCATGAGATAGACACAGGGATAGCACCTGCGACAGGTGTCTTGACCCATCTCCAGCCAGCCCCAGATCAAGGGTATATGTGTGCCCTGCATACCCAGGACAGTCTCTAGATGTGAACCTGAACCTTCCCATGTAAGTCAGTCTCTGACCACCATGCTACCATCTGGCCCTCAATTCTTTCAATAATACAAATTTTGGGGGCCAGCAGATGGTGTAGCGGTTACATCACTGGACTCCAACATGGCCCACCACAGTTCAAGTCCCAGACCCAGTGGCTTGAAAATCACACCAGGCGCAATGTGTGTGTGCCCAAGATCCCAAGAGAGAATGGAGAAGGGATTGTGGTGTGGCCATCCCCCCCCCGGGGGGGTGATTTCTCACTTTCCCTCTCACTATCTCTAGCTAGCACATGTGCCCTATGGCAAAGACCTCTAAAAAAATAGTAATAATGCAAATTTGGGGGGCTGGTAGGTGGCGTGGTGGTTAAGGGTGCTGGACTCCTACATGGCCAACTGTGGTTCGAGTCCTAAACCTGGCGGCTTGCTTTCTCACTTTCCCTCTCTCTCTCACTCTGTCCCTCTTTGGTCAAATTAAATAAGTCAATAATTAAAATAAATAATGCAAATTTTCTTGGGGACATTCTATCATGTTAGTAGGTGTGTGTGTTTGGGCTGATTCATGTCTTAGTTCAGGCTTACATCTTAGTTCAGGATTACATCTGGATTTGGGGGTATAAAGAGCTTAGTTGGAGAAGATTCCAAAGATCTCAGTGAAGAAGGGGTTAGGCTACTCTAACAGAATATCATAGAATGATTAGCTTAGGGGCCGACAGGTGGTGTGGTGGCTAAGGTGCTAGACTCCCACACGGCCAATCGCGGTTTGAGCCCCAGACCTGATTGCTTTTTCACTCTCCCTCTTTCTCTCTCTGGTCAAATCAAAAAATACTAAATACAATTAAAATAAATAATTATTTTTAAAAAATAATGAGTGGTTTAAACAAATATTTATTTCTCGTAGTTCTAGAGGCTGGGAGTTGCAGATCATGGTGCTGGCAGATCCAGTGTCGGATGAGGGCACTCTTCCTGGTTTGCAGATGGCCATCACCTTGCTGCGTGCACATGACAGAGCAGAGAGGGGAAGCATCTCTCATCTCTCCTCTCCTTATAAGGGCACTAATTACTTCAAGAGGGATCCACCTGCGTGACCTAACTACCTCTCAAAGTCTCCACTCCCAAGTACCATCTCATTGGACCTTATGGTTTCAACATAAATTTTAGGGGGACACAAGCATTCAGTCCATGTTGACACAAATCAAAATAGTCATCTTAGGGCTAACAGATGGTGTCAAAGTTAAGGTGCTGGACACCCACATGGCTAACCGCAGTTCAAGTCCCAGACTCGGCAGCTTGAAACTCACACCAGGTGCATGTGCATGCATACTCAAAATCTCCAGAGAAGAATGGAAGAGAAGGGACTGCACGTGACCATCTCCCCAGGGGGTGATTTCTCACTTTGTCACTCCAATGAGCACATGAACCCTATAGCAAAAATCTCTCTTAAAAAAAAAGATAGGGGGTCAGCAGGTGACGTGGTGGTTAAATGTGCTGGATTTCCACATGGCCGACCGTGGTTCTAGTCCCAGACCTGGCAGTTCCTTTCTTGCTTTCCCTTTCTCTCTCTTTGCCTCTCTCTGGTCAAATTAAAAAATAATAATAAATGGAATTAAATAAATAAATAAATCCTGGTCCCAGGATGGGCATCTTATATGTCCACAAAATCTTTGATGCTATCCATAAGAAATACCATTATTTTGGGACCAGCAGTTGGCATAATGGCTATGTCACTGAACTCCCATGTAGTCGACTGTCGTCGACTGAAAGTCATAAACAAGTTATTATGGTTGTTTTTTTTGGGTCTTTTTTAGAGATTTTTGTTCTAGGGTGTGTTTGCTCACCAGAGAGACAGAGACAGAAAGCAAGAAATCACCCCTGGGGGGGATGGCCATGCCACAATCTCTTCTCCTCCATTCTCTTCTCAGGATTTTGGGCACACATGCACACACACACCCAGCATGAGCTTCAAGTCACCGGGTCCAAGACTTGAACTACAGTCAGTCATGTGGGAGTCCAGCGCCTTAACAACAATGCTACCTGCTGGCCCCAGTATGAATTTATTTTGGTTCAAAAGTATTTTGAAATTCATGCAGTTGTTTTTAGTTTCTGCTACCAAGTGTGTGCACCCGCCAGGATGACAGAGAGAAAAAGTAAGAAATCACCAACTGGGGGGATGGTCACACCACAATCCCTTCTCCTCTTGGATTTTGGGTACGCACGCACGGGTGCACGCGCGCACACACGCACACACACACACAGCGTGTTTCTCAAGTTACCAGGTCCAAGACATGAACTGTGAAGGAATGAGAGATCCAGCACCTTCTGCGCCACCTGGTGGCTCCCTAGTGGGTATTTTTAAAATAATTATTTATTTAATTTTATTTATTCATTCATTTCTTTTAATTTGATCAGAGAGAGAGACACAGCGAGAAGAAAAGGGAGAAAGCAAGCTACCAGGTCTGGCATTCAAACCGCGGTCGCCCATGTGGGAGTGTCCAGTGCCTTAACCACCACGCCACCTGCTGGTCCCCTCCCTAGTGTTTCCCCCCCACCACCACCGCTATAGGGTGCATGCGCTCGCCAGACAGAGAGAGACAGGGAGACAGAAAGCGAGCAATCACCCCCCAGGGGGGATGGCCACGTCACAATCCCTTCTCCTCCATTCTCCTCTCGGGATCTTGGGCATGCACACACACGCACCCGATGTGAGTTTTAAGCCACCGGGTCTGGGACTCGAACCACGGTCGACTACGTGGGAGTCCAGCGACATAGCCATTATGCTAACTGCTGGTCCCTCCCTCCCTAGTGTTTTAAATAGAGCTTCTGAAGACCTGTCATACAAGATGGGCGCACTGTGAGGGTCTTGTGTCTTAGTTTAGGTCTCCCTAAAAGCAGATATTTAAGACAAGGATTTGAAGCCAAGTCTATTGGGATGGGCAGACAGAAAGAGACACAGAGCTTATTAGCTTTCAATCAAGCTTCAGGCTTTTTTTTTTTTTTTAATCAAGTTTTTATCAAGCCTGAGCCACTGTGGAGAACTGGAGTTCATTCTGTCAGGGAGCTATGGGAGCCCCTGTGGAATGTGCTCTTCTAATACCAACTCCGTCAGTCACTGGCTGAGGCTGCTCGACTGGAAAGCAGGCATGAGCTCCCTGGCTCCTAAGGCTTGTCACCCTCAGATCCAGGGCAGACCAGGCCCCAGTGGTCTGAGAATGCTGCAGACACAGATTCAGGGGCCCGTACGGCCACCACGAGTCGATGGGGGTGAAGGGATGTGGACTTGGCACTCAGTGCTCTATGGGGCCCACCAGATATCCACCTCACCTCCTCAGCAGGGTACGCAGCCCCCCACTCCGCCCTGTACCAGTACCCTCAGAGATCAGATGACAACAGCTCTAGTCCAAACTGAGTTTAATAGGGAGTTTTGCGGACACTCAGATCCTCAGGTTAAGGGAGGACTCACCGGGAATGCTGAGGTCTAGGGACAGAGGCCCCTGCCGAGTTCTGAATCAGAAAGCAGGGCCTGAGGAAATCTAATCTGAGAGGGTTCTTCCTACGTCTCAGGGGTTAGGTCCTGAGAAGGCTCGGGGCCATCTTAGAAGCTCTACTAGATGGTATTGGGATGCCTCAAGTACCATGGAGGAGAGTTACATCTGGGTTCCTGGGTAAGAAGAGCTCAGTCATGGGGAAGGACTCTGAAAGACCCCCATGAGGAAGGGGTTTGGGGTTCAGGATGTTTCACAGAAACAATCAAGGAGCCTCGATTTCACAGAAATCATCAAGAGGGCTCCTTGTGGGTAAGGGAGGGGGATCACACTACCCCAAATATTGGGGATTAGTCACCCCCCAGCAGCCATTTTGGGGTTTTAATGTAAGACCCCATGGCAGGACACTCCACATACGTTATCACAGATTTGCAACACGGGCATACGCTAGCTGTCCCACAGGACGGTGGGGACTGGAAAAATCAGTCCAGGTTCTGGGTTTGAGTCCTAAGAGGACAGGCCTGGGGCCGCCACTCCGCTCCTCTTCAACAGCTGCCGGAGCTGTGGACAAGGCAAGGCAGTGAGAAGTCTGTGAGGTTGCAAGGAGAAGTGGGGCAGGCACAGGGTGTGGGCTTAGGGAGTAGAGTGGGGTCAGCTGGGTTTGAAGCCAGAGGTCGAGTCAAGATTGAGGGTCGGCAGTAATGGTTTGAGTTCACACTGAGAAAAGGCCAGGAGCCAGACAGGAGGTGAAAGGAAAAGTGTTGCTAGTTGGGGGTTCCCACTCGGGGTTAGTACTAGGTGGGAGGTGAAGGGTCACATCTGAGGTCAGGATCCAGGGTTTGGGGCAGGGGGTTGCAGGTCACACTTGGGATCAAAGATCACACCTTAAGGGCAAGGTCAAGGGTTGCAAGTTCAGGTCGTTATGTGAGGTCAGGTCGGGGTGGCAGTCAGAAGTCCCCCTTCTGAAGTCAGGATTGGATAAGGGTTGAGGTCACCCTCTGCAGTCGGTTCGGGTGGGGTGAGGGGACCACCCTGTACTCAGGCTCAGTGCTCACCCCCTCGGGGCCCGGCCCGGGCCGCAGCAGGTGGACAGGCTGCTCATTCTCCAGGTTGCGCAGCGTTGGGTCCGCTCCAGCCGCCAACAGGCGCCGCACAATGGCCTCCTGAGGTGGCCCAGGGGGCAGGGCGGCTGCCATGTGGAGGGCTGTGTTCCCGTGGGCCTGGGAGAGCGGGGCGCGGAGGGCTGATAAGAACCCTGACTCAGCTGGCCTTGGCCCTCCAAGCACGTCATATCCTACCACAGCCACGCTCCACACACTCACTGTGCCTGTCCTACACATCCCTCTTCACAGCCCACCCACCAGCCCCTTCATGTCGACAGCCCATAGGACCTCCACATCCCACTGCCCCTCTCTGCCGTGTCTCACATACTCTTCGCCCACAGCCCAGACTCCCACCTTCATGTTGACAAAGGCCCGCAGGTCTCCCCGTGGCAGCTCGAGCAGCAGCTGGACCAGGGTAGGGTTGGCAGCCTGCACGGCCAAGTGCAGGACTGTCTTGTTGCTCTTGATCTCCTGTGAGGAGGGAAATGGAAAGGTCAAGCCAGTCCTAAGCCCCAGACACCTTCCCACGGAGCCCAGGAGTCTTGACAATAGTTCTGTTCCACCATCTATCTGTCTACCTATGCCATGAGACACACACACACATGCACACATACACCCCAAAGGCTCTTCCTGTTGTAATCCACTCCCAGCCTCAGCCAGCCAGGATCACAAATGTGCACACCCAGGCTTGTGGCATATTCAGGGAAGTCCCAGGATGCAAACCCAGGACCTTTCCCATGTGGCCTACTTACATTACGAGTGCCTGGTCCTCCCAACTCTTTTTTGTTACTTATTTATTCAGAGAGAGAGAGAGAGAGAGAGAACACCTAGGAGTCTTTAGAGATCCTGGCCCTCCTTTGTTCCTCCCAATCCCTGAAAGGAGCTCTCTGGGGGAGCCGCTACCCTAGCCACCCCACACTGCTTTATCTTTTTGGCTTTTGCTATGGGGCACATGCAATCAATGGAGACAGAAGGAGGGAAAGTGAGAAAGCATTCCCGGGGGGGATGGCAACATTGCAATCCCTTCTCCTCCATTCTCTTCTCAGGATTTTGGGCATGCATACACACACACCCAGTGTGTTTTTCTTTTCTTTAATTTTTGTTTTTAGGGTTTTGCCATAGGACATATGCATTAGCCAGAGAGAGAGAGACATGCCCAGTGTGAGTTTCAAGTGACTGGGTCTGGGACTTGAACCAAGGTAAGCCATGTGGGAGTCCAGTACCTTAACCACCACACCACCTGCTAGCCCATGAACCCAGTGTGTTTTTCAAGCCGCTGCTGGGTCTGAGATTCAAACCATGCAGTCGGACATGTGGGATCCAGCTATCTGCTGGCCCTAGCCCCACATATTATTTAATAGATTAAAATGCGCCCTGTCCCACATAGATTGTACTTTATCCATAGGACAGAGCTGGGCGGCATTAATAATGGGTGCTAACTAAGCAAATATCTACTACACGACTGAGCTGTGCATGTTTGGTAAAAGAAAGAAGATTTCCTTAGCCATTCGGTGGTGTGATGATTAAGGACGCCAGAGGATGTACTTGCTAAAGACAAAGGTGAGGGAGAGGGGAGAAAGCACCCCTCAAGGGGCAATTCCTTTGCCACCCTTCCTTCCCTTTTTGAATTTTGAGCATGTATGCACACATGCTCAGGATATTCTTTTATTTGAGAGATTTTTTTTTTTTTTTTTTTGCTATAGAGCACATATGCTTGTCAAAGAAAAAGAGGGGATCAGCAGTTGGCGTAATGACTATGTCACTGGACTCCCATGTAGTTGACTGCAGTTCGAGTCCCAGACTCGGTGTGGCTTAAACTCATGCCGGGTGCGTGTGCGTGCGTGCCCAACATCCCAAGAGAAGAATGGAGGAGAAGGAATTGCGGCATGGCCATCCCCCCTGGGGGGTGATTTCTTGCTTTCTGTCTCCCTGTCTCTCTCTGTCTGTCTGGCAAGCACATGTCCTATAGCAAAAACTTTTCCGAAAAAAAAAAAAAATAAGAGAGAGAGAGACAGAATGTGGGAAATCATCCCCTAGGGGGATGCCCACACTAAAAATTCTTCTCCATTCTCCTCTGGGAATCCTGGGAACCTACACACACGAGCCCTGCGTGTGTTGAGAGACCAGTGATGTAACCAATGCGCCATCTGCTGGTCCCATCAGGGTATTTTTCAAGCCCTTGAGTCCAGGACTTAACCACACAGTCATCCATGTGGGATCTAGCTCATGTAACCACCAGGCTATGGGTTGAGCCAAAAATTACTGTTTAAAGACACAAATATTTATGAAAAAAATTGTTTGGAGAGGCCAGCAGGTGACATGGTTAAGGTGCTAGACTCTCACATGACCAACCACAGTTCGAGTCCTGGACCCAGCAGTTTGAAAATCATGCTCGGTGCAGGTACATAAATGCTCAAAATTCTGAAAGGAAAATTGAGAAGGCATGGCAGCATGGAATCACCTCCTGCAGGGTGATTTCTCACTTTCCCTCTCACTGTCTCTCTGTCTCTCTCCAACAAGTACACAGGCCCTATGGCAAAATAAAACTAGCCACCAATTGATGGGTACGTACAATTTATTACACTATTTTTTGTACTTTATCTGTGTTCAAAATTCTTAACTGAAAAAAAGTGTTCTTAATTAAGTAAATGTTTTATTATCTCAGACAGCAGTGCAAAAGCTGCCATCATGCAAAAGGAAGACAGCTTAATTAAGAGCCTGGCTCTAGGGTCAAACCACCCGGTTTCCAATCCTCTCTCTGACATTCACAGAACAGAAGACTTTGACTGCTTGTGCCTTAGTTTCCTTACCAGTAAAATACAAAAGTAACAATAGGGGCCAGCCAGGTGGTAAGTTGGTCAGGCGGCTGGATCCCACAAGGCTGCACTGTTTAAGTCCCAGACCCGGCAGATTGGAAAATATGCCAGGTATGTGTGCATGTGTGACCAAAATCCTGAAAGAAGAATGGAGAAGGGATTGCAGTGTGGCCATCCCCCTGGGGGGGGGGGGTGATTTCTCACCACCTCTGTCTCCCCCCACCACCTAATCTCTCTCCACTCAAGGATTCAATCAGCTAGTCCATGAAATTCAGTGATGGATGGACAGTTGATTACTTGATAAACACAAATTCAGATTGAAATATTATTCTCAGCTGAGACCTGAACCACAGTGAAATGAGTAACACGCTCGAGATCACACAGCCAGGAAGAGGCAAATGAGCATGTGTGGGAGCTCCTTAACATCCAGGTGGCACACACCCTCCACACGCCTGCCCCGGGCCAGTCACCCAAGGCCCAGCTCACCTGACTGGTGTGATCAGCACCCATGTGCAGCAACATCTGGACACAAGTCAGCCTGTCTCGGGCTTCAGTACTCAGCACCCGGGGAGAGGAGTCGGGGGTGTTCATAGCGACATTGAGGGCCAGGATGGCCGTGTGGAGGGGGGTGAGGCCTGCAGAACAGAGACAGTGAGGGACCTGCATCTGGAGCACCCACCCTGCCCAGCCTCACTGAGATGCCAGCCCTGCCCACACCCAACTTACCCTCGAAGTCTCTGGCTTCCAGGTCAACCTGTACCCCTGAGTTAAAAACAGCCTGGGAAGGGGAGAAAGCAGAGAGCTGTGAAGGATTTCCCCAGGACACCTAGCCCTGGAAACCAGCATCTGAGCAACCAGCCTACTCCAGACACCTCCCTGCCAGTGGCCATACCGAGAGGACTCCTGGGAGCCCGTAGGTAGCAGCCACATGTAAGACAGAACGTCCTTGATGGTCAGCGGCATTAGGCTCTGCTCCCAGGTTCAGAAGATCCTCCACAATCAGGGGCTGGTTGGCGGCAGCAGCCACCAGGAGAGGGGTCTGCAGGAGATAGGAGCGGTTAGCCTGGGCCCCTCTCCCCTCTGACAACCAGCCAGACTCGTAGTCCCCTCTGCCCTCAGACCCAGGAGGTTAGGTTCCATTCGCCTGTTCTCTAGGACCTGAGAGTGTGGCCCCAGCCCTTACCTTGCCCTTATGCTCCCGAATGTCCAGATGCTTGTACATCTGCAGCATCTCTGCGGCAGCGTACGCCGCCCAGCGCAGCCCCCGAGCAGCAAACAGGTGCAGGAGCCTGAGGACGGGTGAAGGGAGGCAGTGAGACCGGACCCCCCAGCTGAGCCAGCAGTCTGCAGGAGATCCCATTTTCCTTATACTCACGTGTCCCCTTCCTCATCCTGGGCCAGCAGCTGTTGTGGTCCCAAAGCTAGCATGTGAGCTCGGGCTGTGTCCAGAGATGGTCCAGTGACCACAGGGGGGAACTGTGGGGGTCCAGAGGGAAGTCCAGGAACTCTCCAGGATCCTGCCTGTGGCAAGGAAGGTTCTGTATAAAGCCGAGTATCCAGGGGTTCCTAAAGAATACAAGTGGCAGGACCAGCAGTTAGCGTAATGGCTATGTCGCTGGACTCCCACATAGTTGACCGCGGTTCGAGTCCCAGACCTGGTGGCTTAAACTCACGTCACGTGCGTGTGCGCGTGCGTGCCCAAGATCCCCAGAGGAGAACAGAGAAGGGATTGCGGCGTGACCATCCCCCCTTAAGGGTGATTTCTCACTTTCTGTCTCTCTGTCTGTCTGGTGAGCGCACGTGCCCTATAGCAAAAACCTCTCCGGAAAAAAAAAAAAAAAAAAAAAACAAGTGGCAGGACAGCCAGGCAGCTGAGA